ACACAACGGTCGAGCCAATATACCATGCAAGATATTGGAGATACAAAAATTAGCAAAGGCCACTCCATCCCCTCAGAAGTTCAGTCTAGTGGGGCAGGTAGACATTAGGATAAAAATAACAATACATGCCCTAATACAGAGATATCCACTTTCAGTTGTGTGAGCACAGAGGATAAGGCACCCAGTAGCTTGGCAATGTCCAGGCAGGCTTCAGAGGGAAGGTGACTGGGCTGGAGATTGAGAGGTGGGGAGGGGGTGACCAGGTGAAGACTTTCCATTATGCAAAGGCCAGCATGGTGCTTGGGCCTGGAGGGTCTGAGGTCAGACTGACAGCAACCTAGGGTGTGTGAGGGAGAATGGCAGGGAAAAAGTGAGAATGATTGGTTGGTTCCAATTATATAAAGCCTTGCCTGCTGAGCTAAAGGCTTAGGATTTATTCTATAGAGAATGTGGAGCAGGCTTTTTTATTCATGAGAATGACATGATCATATATATTTTTAGAAACATAATATTGGCATTAGTGTAAGGAATCAAGCAGGCTGCAGTTAGAAAGACACACTCAAAGGCTAGGCAAAAAAATTCAGCTGAGAGACCATCATTAGTGTTCTGAAAAGTACAGCAGGGTATGGTCAAAAGGAGGGAGTAAATGTTTAGGATGTTCTATGTAATCCTTCCAGTGTGTATTTTCTGTTAGCCCAGTGATGCTGAAGGCAAGAATATGTCTTCTCTGTCTCTGTGTTCTCAGCATCGTGTGCAGAGCTTCTTTATCAGGAGGTCCTCGTCATACATTTTCTCTAGGCAACAGGGGGACATGTTGGCGGCAGGAGCTGAAAAGTGCTGTGGGCCAGTGGACGGTGAGACACACGTTTCTGCCTCTGAGACTCACCCAGTGACCCTCTGAAAAAAGCCTGAAGTACAAAGTCAAGGGTGAAGTCCAAAGATGAAAGACACGAGAATAAAGGTCAACTCTACAAATAACTGGATGTCTTAAGTTGCTCCAGACCCTCCAGAGGCAAGAATATCTGGCTGGCACAGCTTCTCTAGATTTCAAGAAAATCTATTGGTCAACTCTGGAGATACCCTCACCAAGGAGTTTTGTGTGTCTTCTCCCTTAGAGTATAAATAAATAAAAGTAGCAAGAATAAAGCATTTTGTTGAGGAAGTGAAGGGATAAAATAATTTGTTCCATATTTTTTGAGCACTTACTATGTGCTAGTGACTCTATTAGAGATGTAATACATACATAAAGGCAGAGTTGTATAAATGGCTTTTTAGGAGACATTTCTCATGAGGGTACTTTGATTCTTCTCAAATGTTAAGAGGCAACAATTGGATCCATAATCCCTGGCATTCACAAGGCTTCTCTGTAGTTGCTAGAGATCCTGCTGCTACTTGGAAGGTAGTCATAAAGTCAGATAACTGATTCAAAAAACTCACAACACAACCAGTATGTCATAATAAATGCAGTTCCTTTTAAAAATCACATCTTTGAAACTCCTTAGGAGATTACATCCATAAGAATGCTCTATTCCCACAAACACTTCAGGGAATCATTTTCAGAATCAATATCTGAGCTTCCACTTAAAAGTTAGCCTGAACATTAGTAAATTTTTGTCATATATATGTGTGTGTTAATTTTTCTAAACAGCCAAGAGTAATTCAGAGCCAAGTCCAATAGAAAAGGTGGTCAAACTGGGTGTTCCTATAAATAAAATTATTGTGTGCTTAGGTCTGAAGGAAGCTCCAAATAAAAAATAGAATATATTTTGAGTAATAACATGGTTTGTTGGAATGTATGGCTACTGAAGCTGTTGAGAGACTTAACTTCCACCCTCAATGGATACAAAAAACTAGTATTCATTCCATTAAACCACACATTTAGACTGAAATTCTTCTGCTCAATTGTATGTTCTTTCTGTTCACCAAGCGGAGGTGGTCATTTCAATTAAGGGTTTTAATCAAGGGACTTAGATACAAATTTTAGGTAAATTGTATTCTGGTGAGTCTTTGGAGAACAGAATAGGCAGGAAGTCCATGCAGGAAGCTATGTCAATAGGGTGGGCAAAAGAGCTTTAAAAGGCCAGGAGTAGATATAGATCAACAGGATAGAATGGAGAAGTCAGAAATAATTTATGACCAATTTATGGACAACTGTTTTTTAACAAAGATGCCATGACAATTCAACAAGGGAAAGAATAGTCTTTTTAACAAATGGTGCTGGGGAAGCTGGATAGCTGTGCACAAAAGAATTAAGTTGGACCCTACTTCATACCACACATAAAAATTAACTCAAAATGGACTATAGATCTAAATATAAGAGCTAAAACTATAAAACTCTTAGAAGAAAACATAGGTATAAGTCTTCATGACCTCAGATTAAGAAATGGTTTCTTAGATATGATGTCAAAAGCATGACCAAGAAAAGAAAACAGAAAAATAAACTTTGTCAAACTTAAAAGGTTCTGTGCTTCAAAGGACACCATTAATAAACTGAAAGGAGAACCCAGAGAATAGGAGAAAATGTTTGCAAATCATGTATCTTATAAGGGGCTAGTATCCAGAATATAAACATCTACAATGAAATGGGCAAATTAAACAACTGTTATGCATTGGGTCCTGGGAAATGTGGTTCTCCCTCCTGTGAGCTCAGTTGAGTGATGGGGCATTTCTGGAAGATTTAGAAGCTAACTAAGGCTTGGGCATTTGTATGTAATCCCTGAAAATCTTCAGAATGTGGGCTCTGTGTATTCCTACCTTCTTATCGTGAAGACAATAAAACATCTTTTATAGAACTGTTAGGTTACTTGCCAAATACAAATGTTTAAAGATCTCTCCTTTTTGTGATCTTTAAAGCACTGAATGTGCTGTCCTGTTCTTCAGAAACTTGCCAGAACACACCTCAACACATGCAGTCATATGTGTTTGCCCCAGTGTAGACTTTCTGCTGGATCATGCTTCAGGCCCCATTGACCACGAAGCCAATGAGTGTTCATAGTCATTATCTGCCCCTCCACAGTGTGACTTCCAGGAGGTTTCAGATACATGCACAGCACTGCCAGGTGGGTTCATTCATGCCTTCATGAGAATAAATAAATACTTCCAGCCCTCCTGGACACATTGATAAGAGGGTATTAGGGAATTACATTTCCTTTCCTTAAAGGGTCCGTGAATGAAAAATAGAAAGGACACTTCCAACTCACTTAGACAGAAAACTCAAGGATGATGGGGCAAAGAAGTATTTTAGGTTCTGCCAAGTCTGCAAACTTGGGTGATGTGGAAGGACTTGGGGAAGTCCTGCCCCATTCTGGAACTCAACAACGTAATCTCAGAAACACTGACCTTCAGGTGTGCATATCAGGATTTCAGCCCTGAATGCCAGAAAATACAGAAAGGTAGAGTAACATTAAACAAGTCTTTGTCTTTTATTTACTTCTACCTGATGAGCCTTGAATGGCTCTGTTCTGTCTTTGATTGTTTGTCTGCATATTTCCTGCCAAGAGCTTACAAAACAGCATTGCTGAACAGGAAGATAATAGGTACACCTATTTGTTGAACAACATCAAGGGAGAAAAGTGTTAACTCATCCATTTTGTTGTTAAGTTGTTCTAAAGGATCAAAATACCAATTAACTTGGTGGCTCAGAAATCTTTGATACCCTCAGATTTACTAACATTTTGAAATTCTTGTTCATGCTTGCCTAATGGCTTTCTGATATCAAACAAAGAAGTGCCAGTCTGCTTAGAACTTGACCTGTTTTCTTAAGCATTTTTATATATTCAAGATTTAATGACCAAATATACTTGACTGGTCACATTTATGTGCTAAAATAATCTTTCTTTTTCTTGTTCTAACTCACAGTTTAAGAGGAAAAAAGAGGCTGAAAGACAGCCTTTTTAAACAGCCATTTCTTATTTTTAATTTAAAAATGCTCACTGTAAGGGACTTTTTTTCCCCCTTTCCTCTCTGTGGAAGGTAGTGGCATTTGGAAGACCTGATGAAGCAAGCTGCCATATTAGGATACATTCTTCCCTGAGAAAAAGTTGGAAAAATGACTTTGGGCATAAGTTTCAGAAAGGAGGTAAAAAGAAACTAAAGATGGCTAGTGGAGTATAGCAAGCTTTATAATGGATTTTAATTTTCCTCAGGATATTCTCAGATTTAACCGTGCTTTTCAGAGGTGTTTTCTCTTGCTGTTATTACTATTGTTCTTTATTTCTTCACAGAAATTTGGGTGGAAATGCTACCTGTAATCACATGCATACCTAAGGCATCCCTGTTGCAGTTGTGCAGAAAAGAACACCATTTCATTCCTAGGTAAGGACAATTTCTGGGTTTAAACAGCTCCAAAGCAGTTTATTTGAATAAACATTGACTGAATGCAGTAGAACAAGGATATTAAAAGTGTGAATGCTAAAGCCAGACTGTTTGGATTCAAATTTTCACTACCATTTACAGCATGAAACCTTGGGAAAGTCACTTAATTTCCTTCTGTGCCTCTATTTCCTCATCTGTAAAATGGGCATAACAGAGCCTAGCTAACAGGGTTGCTGAATGGGTGAATGAGACTATACATTTAGGACATTTTAGGTGCTATATAAATGTTAGCTAATATTAAATCATGGCATTGCTTTAGCTTGGGAAAGGGTGGGTGCCTGGGTACATTCACATCTGCCAGAAGCTTGACCCACTATGGAGAGATACTTTCATCAGACCAATTAAGTACCTTGAGATTTTAAAATCTAAGGGTAAATAATACATAAGCATCTATGGACATTTTAATTTCTAAAATGTGAACAGAAGGGAGCTTAATCTGTCCTCCAGATTACTGCAATTTAGTTGGAGTACATTAAAAATGCAACATTTAAGCAAGTCTGTGGTGGCTGGTAACTAGCCAACTACGCATTTGGAGGTGAGGGGGCGTGAGCAGCAGTCCTAGGGAACAGTGGCAGCCCTGAAAGAGCCAGATTTAACATGACGTATTTCCCAAGATGTGGCCTGACCTTTTCACAAACTCTGCAAAGAGGATGCGGTGGGAGTATCCCTGCCGACGGATGCTGACTGTCTCCAGGATTCCCGTGGAACGGAGCTGGGCCAGCACCCTCTCTCGGGAGAAGTTCAGGGCCTCTCGGGCATCATTGGGTTTAATGCAGCGCACAAAGTGGGGCTGTCCGACCACCATTTTGGAGAGCAGATCCATCAGGGAATACTACCGGGGGAAAAACACATGCAATGAGGTCACCACAAACATTATGATGATCACAGCACAGTTCGGCAGGGCCGCCAAGTGGTTCATTGGCTTGTAAACAGCTTATTGACCTTTCTGAGACTGAATAAGAAAACAACAAAAGGTGATGAGGACGTAAGTTCTAATGAGTACTCACAGCTTTGTGCAGAATCAAAAGCATTTTTTAAACATCATTTAGGGCCAGGCAGTATGTCCATGTAGCAGAAACTTAGCTATCTAAGAATACGCTTAAGTCACCCAGAACTCCATCACCAGAATTAGCTCATCTCTGATATTCCAAGGCAGTGATCCACAAACCATCTGTGATTTAAAACGTCCAGCTTCCAGGAAAGGGGCCAATTATTTTTTCAACCTAAGAACCACCAGAAAGTCTAAGCAAATCCTGTCGATACCACTGGTAACAAGGCAGAGGAAAAACAAGAAAAATAGAGAAAGAAGACAAAGGAAACAAAGAAATCAGAGGACAAGAAGGAGATTGTGATGAAGACGAACTAACACACAGCAAGTGGCTAGCCTGGGGTTTGCCCGGAGATGCACAGGGCAAAGCAGAAGGGTGCTCATGCAGGGTGGCCCTGCTGCTCCTTGGAGCGCCCGCTTTGGAGCTCCTCTTTTGGACACACCTTCAGGGGCAGTTACATGCCACATAGGAGATAAGTCCCATTATTTCATAATCATACCTCCAGTTGATATAAAATGGTGTTATCTAGCTTTCCAATGTATCTTTTTTTTCAGATTTATTATTTAGGAACCAGTATTTTGAGGACACCAACCTGGACATATTTCTAAAAAATTATATAAGACATTGTGTTGAAAGAGGCATGCTAAAATCTGGATGACCTCACAGAATTGATCAGAGCCTCCAAATCCTGTGGGATGGACACACACACACACACTAAAACACTAGGTAGATACAGCCACTTAAGAAATATGTGGCAGTTATAAATGTCCACCCACAAAAGTGATGAAGTAGGGGCTGAGTACCATTTACCAGAGAAGCTATAGCAGGAGCATTGTATGGATGGAGTCATACCCTCTGAGCCCAGTTCTGGTCTGTCACTGAAGCACAGTTGGCTAGGTCAGACTTCTTGGCTTTAGATCCTTCTTGAACTTCCTATCTTTCTAAAGGACCTTCTGTCCGTGGTATTGGCTCCGAGGTCCTACCTACCCTGCAGCCTGCTGGGCAGCTCCAGTTCATGACCTGCCTGATGCCCCAGTCCCTGCTGCGGCCATTCCTGTGGCAACCTCACCCCACACCCTTATTTTGTTGTCCCTGAGATCAGTAGTTTCATCTTCGGCCTGACAGCATCTCTGCCATGAAGCTGCCTGGACCTTAGCTCCCAGTACATGATTTCTCAGGGGCTTCTAACCCCAATGCTTTATAATTTGAAGACAGACAATTCATGCAAATTGGCACGAAGTGTCTGCGTCTTATCTTTCTTATATAACATGGATTTAACAGAGTCCTTCTAGAGACAATGTTTTTAAGCAAAGGAATCATTTTACTAGATGAAATACCAGGAATTGGGGCAGCAGAGATGGGAAATAAGTGGGTCTTGCAATGGGTCAATGCAATACAGCAAAATAAAGTTAAAGCTTAAGGCAGATTCCCTCAGGATCCCTGAACTTGATAAATTGCCTTCTGGAATTTTATTAACTACTTTATTTTTCAGTAAGTATGCCGGATAAGTGGCTGAGACCAGCAGCTTCAAGGCCAAGAAGTAGCTCAAATGCTAACAGAATTAGCACATTCAATGGACAGGACTGCGTGCCAGTGTCTGAGAGGAACCTCTGTAGACCCTGGGATTTTCATTTGATCTTTCTGAGACACTGTACTTAGAGATATGCTCCCTGCTGTAATTTTTCTTCTCCCACACCCCCTACCTTTCTTAACTGCCTCTGTGCTTTGTTCTTATTTAAATGACTATAGTATCTGGGTCTTTCATGGGAACCGTTGGCAACTCCTTTGTAGAAGTAGGCAGAACAAAGACGGAGACGACTCCATACCCGGAAATAAGAAGCCATGGTCTGCCTCTTCATGCTGGTGGCTTCTTCGGGATGCCGTGTGACCTCCAGAGAGTCTACCTGGAGCACAGGTAGAGAGAGGTGGTTTGAGGATATAAACAATTCATTTTCCAGCTTTTCCAAAATCTGAGAGACTATTTATTTGGTCAAATATCTGAGGGGCCTTGATGTTCAGGAAACAATAGTGCACACTATGGGGAGAGATTTTAAAGACATGTAAAGGGAAAATAGAATTTGCACTCTTCGTTCACTTGACAATGACCCCTGAGAAGTAGCATATGGTCTCAGTAAAAGTCCCCATCAATGTTACCTCTCTACTTCTCCATGTTCTTATGAGCCTGTGAAGTTCTCCAATAATGTCACATGAGACCAAACTATTTCTTAAAAGGAAACTGGGCAATGACCCATGAGACTGTGTGAGGCTGCCTCTCCTGTTGCCCCCAGTTCCCACGTGCTCCCTGCAGACCATCCCCTGGGATCTACCTGTTCCTAATCATTTGTCCCAGCTCCCCAGGCTGGCTAGAAGGAATTTATGAATGGAATAACTGTAGCAATCAACTACAAGCAGCCTGTGCTTTGTTACTGTACCCTACCGAAAGATCCCTGCTCCTGCACACACAAAGTGCTTGGTGTGGAGAGGGCACAGGTGGCATTTAAGCTCTGGCCTCTGCTGTGGTGGCCTCCCATCTTCTCCGAACAGGTGGCAAGGGGGTGAAGCAGAAACAGTTGAACGGGAAGATGCTGCTGTCATCACGTGTGCTCTGCTCGGTGGACTGCTGTCCAGGCAGCCACCTCCCCATGGGGTGAGGATGTTTGCAGTCTTGTTCAACAAAAGTGAAAAGAGGGTGCTGGAAGAGATGGGGATATGGGGAGGGGGAGGAATAACGTGGCTTACCTAAGTACCTCAGGGTATTTAGGGGACTGTGTGTAAAATGGAAGGAAATGCTTCTGTTGGTTTGGGTAAAGAAAACAGGTTTATTTAAGAAGGGAATAAACAGGGAGCTAAGTTAAAAAAACTAGAAAAGCAACCTTCATAGTGAGCAGGACTATGAGGGTCTCTCTCAGTGAGGTGAGGTCAGGGGCAGAGCAGCTTTCCTTTTCTAGGCTGCAAAGTGGATGCATTCCCAAAGCTGTCAGTTCATTTGTATGCAGCTGAAGCAATGTACAACTGCCTGTAGGTTTGACTTATCTATTCATTTTAATGAGAAAGAAGGAAATTAAAACTCTGTGTTGAGAAGGAGGGCTGCTGTAAAATAGAAAAGGAAAAAACACAACACACCCACCCCACCTGCAGAGACCTTACTGCACTCTCCCCACAGACATCTGCTGGGACCACGGCGATGGTTTCTTCCCACAGCTCACCCCCGTTTGGAGGACAGAGCTCAGGGCTGGTGAGATTTGAGGCCAGGCAAGAAGATCTTGGCTGGGGTCTGCCTTCAGCCAATGTATAAATTCTGGGAGTTTTCTTGAACAAATTTTTTTCTCTTTATTTTCTTCCTCCTCTGACTTTACCTTCACACACACACACACACACACACACACACACACACACGCACAATTTGTGGGAATTTCTTCAATATTTTTTTTTTATTGAGATCCTCCCTGAAGAACCCCATCCCGTTTTGAACCTTGCTTTTCCTCCTTCATTTCCCTGTCTTTTTATTCAAATCACTTTGAGGAACATTTAGGGGAGTACGAAGTGCCAGCCTCTCAGGCTCTAGGGCATTAGAGCATCCATACTTCCCTGAGTAGGGGTTACCTGTTACCCTCCTTCACCTCCTTCAGAACATACAATGGGGAGAGATTTTAAAGACATTTGAGAAATTAACAGTTTAGTGATTAGAAAATGCTTATATATATTACTTCTGCTGTGACATAATTTAAAAGGTATAATATATATTGTTTCAAGATTAGTACACATCCCCAGTAGCAAATTGAAAAATACATAAGAAAGCAGTAATTTTCATTCCCAAAGTTATAAGGCTGGTGAGCTCCCCTGTCTAATCATCCAGCATAACTTTAAGTTCTGTCTTTGTATTTACAAACTGACTCTTGGGAAGTAAGTAGAAACCTGTTCTCTGTTATATACCATCTCGAAATGCTAATGCTTGTCTGAAGTTTACCATATACATATTTAATATTGTATTTCTAATATCGGGGTATTTTCTAATTTAAGACTTTGGAAATGTCTCGGGTTAGTTAAGGGTCTCTGGCATAGTCACAAGGTTCTCCTGAACATGGAGTGGATCTAAAAGACGAAATTTTGGACAAGGGACATATGAGGAGGTGACTCTCTGGCCCTTCAAACTAGAAGACCTCTATCTCTACCAGCCCTATGGTGAACTCCAATGAACTACAAAAAATCAAAACCAAAAGAGGTGAGAAGGTTGTTGTATAACCTAGGAATTTGTTTTTTTGAGCTAATTTAGTTAATTGTAGTCCCACTTTATTTAATTAAAAATAAAAGTCTCTTAGAAGCAATTCAGAGTAGGTTCTATTACGGGCATCATCTAGCAAATAATTTTCCCCAAAGGTGGGGATATCGCAAGAAAAACACAGTCCTCTCCAAAGTACTTATAATTTTTACCTCAAATAGGTGCAAAAGAGACTAGAAAAGCTTTCCTAGGCTCAGGGGTTATGAACTATAGGGCAGAGAATTTTGGAAACAGGCACACCTGGTTCAAATTCTGGTTCTTCCATTTATTAGATGTGTGGCCTTGGGCTTGTTAGCTTCTCAAAGCCTCTGCTTTCCTCTTTAGTAAAATTGGTTAGTAAAAACCATTGCCTTGTGTTTGCATAAGAAGTAACATCAGTTCTCCCTCCATCATTACCATGCTTGATTTAGTTTTAGTTGAGTGATCAATTTCAAGGATGCAGGATTTTCTTCTATGGCAGAAGGCAAGTACTAACATCAGTGCAGCACAGCAAGGAGGCCTTTCTATTTACAGGCAGAGAAAATACTTCCAGTGAAACCAATTTCAAATTGATCAGCAGAATCGATATTCTGGTGAAAGCATTGTCTGTCTAACCCAGTGCACCTTTCTCCTACAACCCAATTTATGCAAGTCAGCCGGAGCTGAGCAAGCGTGTTTTCTGCCTACGTGACAACTGTCCAGCCCAACTCCTTCTGAGAGGCGCTGGTCAGCCTTTAAACTTGTCATGAGTAAGCTTTACAAGTCATGATACAGACCTCCAAGTCCACAGGAATTGAGCTCTCATATACATATGGACTCCACACATGGAGTTTTAGATGGTCATCAAAATATGAGTCATAAAACATTGATTGTTTCTTATGTGAAATCACAATACTAGCCACTTTGCCTATATTATGTCATTGAATTTTCAAAATGATCCTATGAGGTAAGTACTATTATTATTTCTATTCTACACATGGGGAAGTTAAGGCTCAAAGATTTTAGGTAAATCTCCCATGGTCTTGCAGCTAGTAATTGGCCATGCCTACATCTTAACCCAGTTCTGATTCCAAAATCTTACTTCTTAAACATTACATACTGCCTTTCTATGTGGTTTGATATAACTTATAAAGTCACTCTGAAAGCATGGTATTGTTAAAAAGCTTTGCTCATCTGTCAACTAAATTTACTCTCTGAAAGAGACACAGAGTCCGAAAAGTCTCATAAATCATCTAGGCTTCAACAATAAATGAAAAACTGGAGGATTTTTTCCTGGTCTCAGTAAATGACCACTATTTGCATCCTGAAGCCTCAGAAGTGCTTATATTTGCTTCTCAAAAATACTTTTTGTCAAGAATTTTTACTGCTAACAAGTAACTCATCCATCCCAAAGGAAAAAATATTCCCTCTCAAAAGCCTCCATAGCCCTAAATGGGGAAGCAAGACTGGCACTGACACTTGGTCCAGAGTTGGGGTACTGAATGCTGGAGGCCAGCTTCCTAGGAGGCCACCTCTGTTGTTTTACTTCAAATAAAGAGAGTTTGGGGTTTGTTTTTTTTCTGTTGTCACCCTTCTTAATTGTCGATGCCTTAATAAGAACTTCCAACTCATTTACTTTTCCAATAAAAATGAATCTCTAGTCATTTTCATCTCACCTTTATACATTGTTATTATTATGCTGATGTAAACACATGTCACATACTGGAGGGCATACTTTTCACATAGGCAGGAACTGAACAACAGCAGGCAGTGCAGGGAGGGAGGTAACACTTTGCTGATATTCTGGGTGTAGAAGGCAGGCTCATGGGACCTGGCAGAGTCCAGTAGCCAACAAATCAAATTGGAGAAAGGGAGGTAATGTAGGCTAATAGAGGGTATTACACAGGAAACTTTAATCTTTTAGTGTCATGATCACTTCTGGAATCTGGTAGAAGCCAGTGACTCCAAAAAAACAGATATACGGTTGATTTGCATTATTTGTGGATTCTATATTTCTTAATTTGCCTACTTGCTAAAATTTATTTGTAACCCCCAAATCAATACTCACAGTGCTTCATGGTCAATCATAGCCACGCAGAATGGTGAAAAGTCTGAGTGACAGACACACCCCAAGCTAAGGCTGAACAGGTAACACTCTGCCATCTTGTTTTAGCTCTTATGCTGTAAATAAATGTCTTTTCCCATTTTTTTGCATTGTTGTGTTTTTGGCTGGTGATTTCCCTGTTTATAATGGCCTCCGAGCATAGGGCTAAAGTGCTGTCTAGTGTTTCTATGTGCAAGAAGGCTGCAGTGTGCCTCTTGAAGAATATGTGTGTGTGATAAGCTTTGTTTGGGGAAGAGTTATAGCACTGTTGCCTTTGAGTTCAATGACACAAATACTGTAATAGAAATACTCTTTTATATAAAGAAATGCTGTATATAATTATATACTGTATATAATGCTGTATATAATATATTTGAAACATATATTAAAGTAGATGTCTTTAAGTAGAAATACACACAAAACAAGATTATGTAATAACTGGTTGACAAAAATGTTGTAACTGGAGTTGCTGGAACCTGTGTATTTCCTTTAGGAGCATGTACTGATTCAGTGTTCACAGGATCTTTATAGAACAGAAGTTTCACAAATAATGAGAATCAACTGTATTAAACACAAACAAAATTTTACATGTAATATCAAGCTCTCAGAATCACTAAAACTCCTATGTAAATCTCTTCTAATGGCCCATAGAATTCATATTAAGTAGTCTTAGTATCTTGCCACAAATTCACAAGGTTGAAAAGTAGAATATTACACTTGGTTGTAATAGCAATATGGACATAAAAATTATTGTTAACAAAATATCTGAGTCCCTGTTATGTGCAGTAAGTCTTTTATTCTCAGAGGAAATAAGTATAGATATGTATGTCTGTATCAATTTTGGGATAATATTCAACAGTATTATGTGTGGCTGAATTGCTTTTTCTTTATTAAATAAATTATTTACTATTCAATATAAACAAAAAGATCATAAACCTCACATATATGACTTATTTATTTTATTACTCTACCACCTTCAAGATAATTGTTTTTTGTGTCTGTATATACAATGAACATTAACGAGCCAGTTCTGATATCCCTGTTCACCTGGAAGAATGGAAAATTTAAAGAATTTTACACCAGGATATTTATTAATGCTTCTAATATCCCTGCTTTGCAGGGACTAGGGCTCCACTCACTTTTCAGAGGACAAAGCACCACTGTAAGACATGGTTTGATTTCTTTCCTCCCTGCTGACTCCACTTGGCCCCTGTATTCCTCCTCTGTAGGTTGGTGACAGCCTCAAGGAAAAAAGCTTTATCTCATCCTGGATGGACTTTATTTTCAAGCGTCATTATTTTGGATCTTAAGTGATCATTCTGAGAATGGTGAAAGGGTCCCGAATATGTCACAGTGGCACAGCAATTATTTTGAGATGAAGACATTTGTGAATCAACAGTTGCAAGAAGCTTTTTCTGAACTCCCCTTATCTGCCTAAAAATGGAGCTTCCCTAAAGAACCCAACTGTCATAAATCCCCTCCATGGCACTTTTATAGGCAGGGAAGATTGGCTTCTGTCATTGCAGATGACAAGTAAGCACTGGGATAAGAAATCACCTTAACAGACATTGTCACAGAACCATCATACCTCCCACCTGTTCTAAGGGATCATTAATTTTTCCCCAAAGTCATTTTCTCTCCCATTAGTGCCTTTCTCCCCCTGTTCATCCCCTTTTAAGATGGTATATAAACTGCAAATTCTAACTGCCCCTGACTTACTTTTTCTGGTGAACTCCTGTATGTACATGATAAAAATATGTTTTTTCTCTGGCCTGTCAGGTTTAGTTTAATTCATGGTCCACTAAGCTAAATTTAAGAGAGTACAAAAAGGTTTTCTTCACTAACACAGGATTCTAATGATTCCAGGATGTTGTTTCAAATTTCCTTACCCCTGATTTCCTAAATGCCCTCTATCTCATTACCAGACTGCCTGGTAGTGGGCCATACCAAGGAAACTACTGCTTCCCTCCCTGGGATTATCCCCAGGGCAGGAGCACCCCGCGGCTCACATTATTCTGGATACAAGCTGGCAGCTCACCTTGGCTTTCCCGGCACTGAGAGGCGGAGGCGAAGGCCTTGAGGATGCTGGTATCCTGGCTTTTGTCTGGGCAAAGTTACCTGAACAAAAAGACAAATACGTTAAAGTGCAGGAAAAGTTAAGGAATAGGATTATGAGTAACTTCCTCCTAGTGTCCTTGTATTTTTTTTTTTTTTTGAGAGGGCATCTCTCATATTTATTGATCAAATGGTTGTTAACAACAATAAAATTCAGTATAGGGGGGTCAATGCTCAATGTACAATCA